GGAGATTGAGAGAGAGAGAGAGAGATAGAGATCGTAGATAGAGAGATTAGAGGAGATTTAGAGGAGATCGAGAGAGGGTTCTTGATAAAGATCTTGAGAGAGATTAGAGGGAGACTGATAGAGAGATTAGAGAGATAGAGATCGTAAAGAGAGAGATTAGAGAAAGTTGGGATAACATAGAGAAAGCAGGGATTTGTTGTGATCAGAGAGATCAAGATAAGAGAGATCAGAGAGAGAGAAAGAGACCGAGAGAAGTACCGCAACTCCAGAGAACACCAATAGAGAGAGACCGAGAGAAGTACCGCAACTGCAATACAGAAGCAGACTGCAATACTGATTAGAGAAGAGAGAAGGCCCCAAACAAGATTGAGAGGAACTGGCTCTGATACCATGTAGAAGATATTGTTTCTATTATCTTACAAACTTGATTTACAATGGCGGATTTATACATGAATGTATAACTGCTCACAGAGGGAAGCGGCCCACAAACCCGTTGCTCAAAGATAGGCAATACAAAGTCCAAACGGCCAGATCTGAAAAGGTTGTACCTGCAAAGGTTAAAAGGGAACAATAGAAGACAAAGGAAGAAGGGGGAGGAAAATACAGAGTGGAGGCAACGGGAGGAGAAGGTTGAGAGGAGAGAGAGAAGCAGCCTGAGCTAATAGAGAGAAATAGAGTGGACGCGAAAAAGGAGGGATGGGGGGAGAAATGTGGTGCTTGCCGAACAAAAACCTTACATAGTACACAAACAATCGGGTTAAGCCCAAAAAAAGGAAGTGAAAACATGTTCTAAACCTGTGCAAATAAGATAGTGGGGAGTAAGAGGTGGAAGCATTCAGGGAGGAGAAAGACATGGAGAGAGGGAATAAGATAGAAGACAGAGAGGAAAAAGAGCATAGAGAATATGGGAGGGAAGCACAGAGAATATAGAGAGAGGAAGGTAGAGATAAAAGAAGACCAAAAATGTACATATCCCAAAAAGGAAGACTAATAAAGGCTTCAAGATGCCGGTGGGGCAGCACTAGCATCGGCATCCTCCTTAGCAGAGCATCTGCCACCACATTGGCTTCCATCAGATGTCATGGAAAACAACTTGAAGCGACATGCAAAGATAGACCACTTGTCCATCTCCTTTTTGGAGTTGGACCATTGAAGTCTCTTGGACTCTATATTTCTTTTGTGACTTCTTGTAAAAGGGTGTGCCTTTAAGCCCATTTTTTGTATACAGTCTCTCCAAAAGTATATAGTTTGTATAGGGGTTATGGATTAATTTTTTACCGAGTTACCCGTCTCGAGGGTAAGCTCAGCTCTCTCTCTCCCCAATCTTTTGTACTCCTTTTTGGTATTTAGTACAATGTTAACATTACAAAACAAAAGATGGAACACTTGTTCAAAGATATGAGAAATGCGCCAAGGATGTTGTATCCTTCTTTGAGCCTAAGTACGACATTCTTGGAGTCACCTTCAACGACTAAATTTTCGCCCCAATCGGGGTTAAACCTTTTGCCACTTAAAGTCTTACAAGTTGGTCACTCAGAAAGCAAAAGCGAAAGTGCAATGAAGGAAAAGGTCATTGCAAGTTTGTTCTACTTCCTAGAACATGCAACAACGATTTGCGAGTGGAAAACCTCTCCTTTGTAGTAGATCTACAGTGAGATTGTGATTGTTGATCACCAGCCAGCCAAAAGATTAAATCAGAAGGGGAATGCGAACAATCCAAACCCTGTTATGAGGAGCGGAATCAGAAAAGATTGGGGAAAGGGTAATACAGAAAGAAGACACTGAGAAATAACATTATGGTATGGGGACTAGATAATTTTTTCAGACTCAAAATTGTTGACATAAAAAGTTGGCAAAAGGCTACGAAGGACTAGGAGGTCATCTTAGAGTCTGAAAGTGGTATCCTAAGGATTCGGTTCAAGATGATAGATCATAAAGAGAAATTGAAGCAATCAGCTACCTAGGCAAAGGAAAGATTGGAGACTTAGAAGAGGTTTGGCCACATGTCCTTAAGAGGTTGCTGTCCAATCTAGGTCTAAGACCAAAAAGACACCTTATTTCCTCAATTCACCTTGGGTCTAATGGAGGATACAAAATTGGTGACAAGAGAAGACTCTTATAGATACCAGAGGAGCGATTAATTGGCCTCCTAAGAGGAAAACAACCAAGAGTGTATGGTCCATATTAATGGAAAAGGACCTCATACCACTGCAAGTCATAGTTAATAGCAAAGCAGCACCTCCATTTGCCTAACAGAGCAAGGTTCGCGCATCTAAGATTCGTAGTACCTAGAACACCAAGACATTTAGGAAGGCACACTTGGTCTCAAGCCACCAGATGGATCTTTGTTTTTGATACATCGCCAACAAAAGGAAGGATTTCATGATATTCTCTAGGAAGTGGACCAAACTTAAGGCATGAGGAAGAGAGAAAATGAAGTAGATGCGGATGTTAGCATCCCTAAAGGTTATTTCTCCTCTTCCAGCAGCCTCCGTCAAGGAGATCCCATCTCTCTCTTTTTCTTTATAATGGTAGCCGAAGTCTTTAGATAATCTATCTCTAGGTTCTACGATCGGGTCCATCTTTCTTGTTTCAGAACCTCTAAAGCAAGCAATGTTTTTTCTCACCTCCAATAACCTGATGACACTCTAGTCCTCTGCAGTTTCTCTATTGATTTCTTTAAGTTTTGGTTTTTCTAAAAATTCAAACTTAATTGCCTGTCCTACTCTAGATGTTTCTATTCCTGTATTATTAATTGTTATGGGATATAGTAAGGTTAGGAATGGAATTCCAAGTATGACTGCCTGACTTAAGTTTTTTACCATAATAAAAGGTGTCGGAAAACAGTATCCATTATTACATACCATGGCATTTGATAATTTGTATTTAATAAATAATCTACTACCTTCTATGATGTGGACGTTGACAAGCTCTTATTGTTCTTGAGGTGCTTCAAAGCAAGCCACTAGGATGCAGATCAATATGGCTAAATCCAAGCTTATTGGAATCGCAGTTTCTCCAGATAACCTCTCTGCTTTTGCCTCTAGATTAGGATGCAGGACTGACAACCTTTCAGCGAAATACCTCGGCCTTCCCCTTTGTTTTTGTAAACCCAGCAAGCCCTCTAGGACCCCATCATTGAGAATTTTCTAAGTAACTTCTTTCACTTTTGTCAGCCACAATCCACCATTTTGCCTCTTTTTTCTCGATTTTTTTTTTGAGTAAAGTTAACTTCTCTTTTCTCTCGATTTGGATGCATTTTTTGTAGAAATTTGTTCATTTTGATCTTCTCTCACTGCTCTAAGGGATCCATAACAAAAATTTGTGTATCTGAGCCCTGATTTGAAGAAATCGAAAGATATAAGCCACTCAGACAAGACCTGGACTTTTAAGTATCTAGATTTTTTAATAAATTCATCAAAATAACCAATATAATCTTAGATTTGTTTTCACAAACACAATAATATCATTTTTTTTCCGCTTTTCTTATGCCTCAAATTCAATTCTTTTGGCCAGATTGGCCAACCTCGACCGAGTCGGATTGGAGCCACATATCCAGATCGGTCTAACAGGCGAATGACCCAGGTTTTCAAATCCTGGATTATACATATACTTTATATAAAATATATAATTGGTTAGTTTATCACATACGTTATAGATTTATGTGAGATTATATATATGTGTGTGTGCATGTGTTTTTCTGTGTGCATGTTTGGGCCACATATATATGCATATATGTGTTAGGGGTGCCACGAAACCAAGGCAGCCAACCCCTCCCCCATCCCCAAAAAGGGCACCTAGTGCCTCTTAAAGCATTGAAGACTACAAGGAATTCTGAGACACAAATACAGTCTTGAGATATGAAAATTTCTGAGAGTTCAGCTTGATGTAGATCCAGTGGATCCACGTCTTCAAAACAATCATACCCATTGCGTAAACCGACAACCATATAACTACTGATAAGAAGTGATACTCCATAAAAATTTGTAGTGCAAACCCAATGGGTTATACATACTGTAGTTTAAAACCAAATTTTAAAAAGACTTTACTCGAATTGGGGACTCATCAATTGTCAGAGTCTAAATCTCTAGTTTAAAAAGCATCTGTGACCCATATAAACATAAATGTTTGAGAATACTTGACTAGATAATGTCATAGATAGAGGTTATTTCACCATATCGATGTTTGGCATCAGCCAACCATTCCATTAGGGAGTGTACAATTAGGCAGACTAATGTTGAACTAGTTCTAGGGAATTGTTGACATCAAAAGCCATCACTATTGTTAATTGTTTAAGAATGGTAGGCAATTGAATTGACGCTATGTGTACTGCTTAAAATATGAAAGAGCAGGATCGCAACAACAAATGATATCTATACGAGAATTGAAGTAATCACAAAGACAAAAGAATTGAAAGCGAACTAATTCGGGGAAATTAAGCATATAGAAAGGAAGCTCTTTGATTGATTTAACAAACTAAAACTGAATGGCAAAGCAAACAGAAAGGCATATAGGCCATTGGGTAGCCAAATTCGGAGAAAGATGTCACCTAAAGCCGATCAGTGAAAGAGCTCCATCAAAATACTTATGAATTTATGATTGCACATCAAGCAGAAAAGGAGGTCTGCCAAAAACAAAACAAATAGTATAATACCTACACTAATTTCTACATATATCTATGAAGGATTGGCAAACTTTTAATCGGGTATTAAATTACACAACTTCTAATGGAAAATGCAAAAAGGACACCAAACTAAACGACTCAAACAATGGACAAAAGGATTGGCAAACTTTTAATCGGGTATTAAATTACACAACTTCTAATGGAAAATGCAAAAAGGACACCAAACTAAACGACTCAAACAATGGACAAAAAAGAGTAAGAACGTGAGGGATATTTACATATATCTTCCTTGGGCCAAATTGTAGAGAGAGAGAGAGAGAGAGAAGTAAAAAGGCACCAGTGTGGGGGGTGAGATAGAGAGAGAGAAGGGGGGTACCTTGTTCCAAGACCAGTAGAAAATGGCACCAGAGTTGGAATTTTGGATTTGAGAAGAGGCCAGGAAGTGAGTACCAAGGCAAGTGAGGCCATGACGATGAGCAGTGCAGGAGCGAAGGCGGAGACCCTCTGAGCCAGAACCCAGTTCAAAGCTACTAATCCCTGAATCCAAAGGCGACGTCACCACCACCACTTCTCGAGAGGACTCCATCAACCCACCTCTCACTCTCTCAAAGGAACAAAAGGAGGACCCTGTAAAAATCCCAGTTTCCCAGTTAAGAGTTAGGGTGCATTTGATAACTTTCTCTGTAGTTTCCCAAGGAAAATCCCAGCCGCTGATTTTCTTGTAATCTAGGAGGAAATTAAAAATTGGTAGCCTGAAAGCTAGGAACCGTGTTTAATAAATTGTGGTGCTGTTATTTTTCAACTGTTTGATATTTTGAAAGCTTGAAACTGCCTGTCTTAACCATTCATTATGTATTTTGTTGATTTGATGTGCAAACTGCATATTTTGAATATGGTTTTCTTACTACAAACCATCTAATGCATATCTTATAAAATGTAATTGCTCAGATTGAAATTTGTACTTATATCGCGCAATGATCATTAAACATTTAGATCCCAAAAAACAGGCAGAGCATGTCCACAACTAGACGCACAATTCTTACATTCAATTCCATTTAAGTTGTGTTTTCACTGTCTCTAAGATGAAATGAGAGTCAATGGATTCATAAGAGGTAGCAAAAATGCTGATGAGAGAGAGACACAAAGATCACAATAATAATCTCAGGAAGCTCAATATAAAATTACATAAAAGTCACATGCCAGAATTCAAAATTTAACAGAAAAGAAGTGGAAACCCATGTATACAACACAAACAAACAAAAATTTAACTTTGAAATTAGCTAGAAATTACACACAATTTGCCTGAATGAATTACTCAAGAGAATTCCTTAATCCAACATAAGTCATTGAGAATAAACTCAACAAAAGAAAACCAAGAATAAACTCAACCAAAAAAATACTCTAATCCAAGGAATGAATTTGACAAAATAATTTATCCCAGAAAACCAAACGAAAGGAGAACAAATTCCAATCCCACCACTCATTTTGAAGCACAGAATCCACCCATAGCAATTCTACCCAACAATAGCAATAATTAGCAACAAAAATTGTGGAACAAATGTTTACGTGCAAATCTGCGCCGATGTCTGATGTGAAATCAACTCTGTCCAGAATTTCTGGTTTGGGGGAGGGGATGGTCTACAATAAAATAACCATAGCAGAAATTTCAAAAAAAAAAAAATGCATAAGAAAAAATGAGCACTAATGATGAATAAATCATGGATAAACTGAATAAAATATTTATGGACAGCATACAAAATATTAATTCAGTTACCAGAAATATGCAATAAAACACAAATAAACAGCACAGTTCAGATCAACAAGGTCACCAACTATTAGCAGATCATGAAAAACCAGAATCAGATCACACCAAAACATCATCAAATTCCACCTCAAAACGCATTAAAAACAACGAATTGCACCACAAAAGATGCAAATAATCCACCAAATACGAAATAATCACAACATAGTGCAAAAAAAAAAAACCAATATTAACATTCCATTCATGGAAAAAAGACCAATAATGAAGAAAAAAATTTGAAGAAAAAAATAAGAAACTAGACAACAAACCTATGAACGATTCTTCAGTTAAATGAGTAAAATAAACTAGCTTGACCCTGTTAAAGTTGGGCATCGATATTCCGTATAATCACTTTAACAGAAAAACCCTATTAGATTTGGGTATTCTCTATAGAAAACAAACATTAACAGAAAAACCCTGTAAAGTTCTAGAGAGGGACCAATGAAACCTCCAACGACAATGTCGAGAGATAGACCAAAATTATATCAAAACCAACTGAAGATTCAATGATATCTAGAGACAACACAAAAAGGGGCTGAGAAAAGCCTCTCAGATATTCTAGAGAGAAGAACAAAGAGACCAAGACCGAGAGAGATGGATGAGCGTACGTGGTATCCTCTGTACAGAGTGAGAGACCAGGGTTCCTGGATGGCGAGAGCGGCAAGACGAGAGTGAACTTTGGGTGAGGAGGAGAGAAGTTGCAGGGTTGAGCTCCGGTGGGCCGAGCTAGGCTGAGAAACTTACGGGTCGTTCGCTGAAAAATTGACAAGAAAATATTTATTTGCAAACTATTTACATAAGTTTATATAAGCTTAAGGTCCTCAACAATCAACCCAGCAATCTAAACTTAAGCGCACCTCAAATATTTATTGGAGCAAGTGGTTTCAATGTCGAAAAACCTTCAATCATCTCCACCCACCTTGAGACACATGCACGTAAAAAAAAAATTGAAATCTCTTGAGATACATGCATGTAAAAAAAAAAATTGAAATCTTAAAAAAATTATATCTTGTAATGCATTATCTAGACCATTAATTCTTAAGATTTTTCAGTATTCATAGATCTACTTTAACGATAATATTTTTGAAATTTAAATTTTTATAATTGGATATATAAATAAATTTTCAAATCATCATAAAAATATTTCATACTAAAAATGATATCTTTGGACACTATTTTCAGGTATGCCTCACTTTGATTGTTAGGGTCATACTAAAAATGATATCTTTGGACACTATTTTCAGGTATGCCTCACTTTGATTGTTTAGGGCCTCGGACTTATACATACCACACCCTCTACATAAAGAAAGAAAAATTACTCATGCATGAATTTTCCTATGTTGGGTGAACATAGTTGGAAAGTAGAGAGAGAAGATAGTAAATTTGAAATTGTGAGATAGTTTTTCTTTATGAAATTTTTAAAACAATTTATCTTTCTAACATTGAAATTTTGATGTGTTTCTTTCTCTAAAAATTTTGAGGCATTTTCTCTCTTTAAAACATAATTTCTTAGATAGTTTCTCTCTTTAAAAATTTTGAGACATTTTTGCTCTCTAAAATTTTGAAATTTGAGATAACTTCTCCCTATAAAATTTGAGATATTTTATCTCTCTAAAAAAATTTAGGTTATTCTCTATCTAAAATTTGATTTAGTTTCTCTTTCTAAAATGTTAAAAACTTTCTCACGTTAAAACTTGAAATTTGATATAGTTTCTCTCTCTAAAAAATTAAATAGTTTCTCTCTCTAAAATTAAATATATTTACTTTTACCAAAATTTTAAGATAATCTCTCTCTAAATTTTAAAACTTGATATAGTTCCTCTCGCTAATTCATGGGCTTATTTTGGCAAAATTAATTGTATTTGATAAAGTGGGCAGCCCTGTTGTGTGAAAATAAACCCGCATAAATTTTCCCACCTCAAGAGATGTGATTCTATTTTCACATGAATTAATCAATTTGTAGTAAAAAAAATTACCATGGGAAAAAATTTCATCCGTATTTGTCGCGTACCAAATATGTATGACGTGACTTTCACATGGAAACATTTTCATACCTACTAAACGTAACCTTAGGGTTGAGCTTCGGTGGGAGCAATAGACGGCTAGGCCTCGCTTGAGTTCCAATTTCCCCCATGTGTTGCAACTTCAGTTAAAGGAACAGTAAAATGGGGAAAAAGTTAGTTTCAAATTAGAGTCCACTTGAAAAATTTCACAAGAATAAATTGTTTCGATGCCCAAATATCCTCAAATTGATCATCACGACATCAAGATGCATGGACATGAGAAAAAAATGGATTTAAAGTTTTGAAAATAGTATATTTTGTAATGCATTTTTGGATCGTCAATTTTCAAGATTTTCAAGTTTTCATAGATTTGTCAATCTACACTATTTTTGAAGCTTTAAACTTTATAAATAAAGATAAAAATATATTTTAACACTATCACAAAGATTTCCAATATTGAAACCACATTTCTCTGCACTATTTGAAGACACGCTTTCCAATATGATACCATATGCTTGAAAACTTTTCAGAAATCTTTCATGGTCATGCAAGTTTAGGGTCATGAATAATCATATATGCATTGCAATAATTGATAAGAGATTCAATATAATGGTTAGAACTTAGAAATTCAACAAGTACACCAAGAGAGTAAGACATTTGATATCTAAACTGATAAATATCCAATTAAAGCTAATTTACATAGAAGCATAATCCTCAAATCTATTGTTTCTCTCTGATTACTTCTTTGGAATCAACAATTGCTCTAGTTGGAATGCAAATTAAACATTTTTTATTGTAGGTATGTTATGTTTCAATCTATACAGTATTTGCCTGATTTTCTTTAATACCTTTGTTCACTTTGTTGTTGTGTAATTAGCGTTTTTTGGAATTTGGATTCCCTTACTATTATTTTTTCTCGATTCCTCTTTTATGAATTGGTTTCTTCTCCTTGTTCTTTCTTTCTATTTCCTTTTGGATGATGTTTTTCCTTCTGAATTTATCGTAATAAGTTGCTTAGGGAACCTGTCAAGATCATTCAGTAAGGTTTGAGGAATTTAAAACTTCTATATGCAAATAGTCAATTAGATTTGATTTGATTAGTAATGGTGGCAGAGTTACAAGATTATGGATTATGAACTTTTTTATCTCCTCTGATGATAGTTTCAGTTCTAAGGTGTTAAGCTTAGAATTATAGATCCAACTTATACTATAGGTAATAGCAAACTTCTTAAACAATAAACTTTTTTACCTTAATTTATATATGTGAGATTCTATATTATAAGAATGATACAAAAGTGTACTAGAGGTTGACTTAAAGAAAGAAAGTGGCTTTAGTTATAGCTGCTAAAAACTTTGTATTCTAAATGGTTTTTGAAGTGTTCTTCATCATGGGCAGGTTATAAAATAGTTCATACTATGAGGAAGGATGTTGTTTTGAAATTTCTTAAAGTAACAATT